CTGAGCCCCTGGGTAGAGTGCTATGGCTTCACTGCTCACAGCAACCTCCAACTCCTGGGCTCAAGCGAGTCTCCTGCTTCAGCCTCCCAAGTAGCTGGGACCATAGGCGCCCACCACAATGCCTGGCTATTTTTTGGTTGCAGCCATTACTGTGGTTTGGTGGGTCCGGGCTGGATTCGAACCCGCCACCTTAGGTGTATGTGGCTGGCGCCTTAGCCTCTTGAGCCACAGGCGCTGAGCCAAGACCTTTTTTTTCCTAATGTAATTTTTTAATGTAGGGAATTTCTTCTCCCTAAGTACTTTTGCCAAGTGGCATTCCACAAATACTGGCATGTTGTACTTTCAATTTTATTCAGCTAAAAGTGCTTTCTAATTTACCTTTTGATTTATTTCTCATTTGTGAATTATTTAGAAGTAGGCTATATAGTTTTCAGACATTTGGGATTTTTCATATGTTTTCCATTATTATTAATTTCTAATTTAACTCCATTAGTCAGTGGAAATTCTATATCTGATTTTTTTGGAATTTGTTTTATGGCCTAGAATATGATTTGTTTTGATAAATGTCCCATCACTTGAGAATAATATATATTATGTTGTTGGGCAAACATTTTATTAAACATAAATGATTAAGTTGTTCGATGGTCTGTGTATTGTACAAATCTTCTATACACTTACTGATATTTTGTCATAAGGCTCATTGAACTATCTGACCATAATTGTAGATTTGTCTATTTTTCCTTGTATTTCTATTAGCTTTTGTCTCATGTGTTTCACTGAAACTCTGTTATAATGTGCATAAACATTTTGAATTATTTCATCTTTGTGATTAATTGATAACTTTATCATCATAAAATGATAATGATACCTAATATACATAATAATAGATAATCTAAAAATATTTTGATAATGTTCTTTTGATTAGTGTTTGATGATATGCTTTTACTTTTAACTTATTTATGTCATTATATTTCTTATGTGCAACATACAGTTGGATCTTTTTATCCAATATGACAAATTTTGCTTTTTTATTGGAGTGTACAAGTACATAGCATAAACTAAATAGTATAAACCAAATCACTTTGTGTGATTTGTGTTCTTCTATGCTGGTTCGATCATCTCTGTTTTTTTTTTTTTGTTTTTTTTTGGAGACAGGGTCTCATTCTGTTGCCCAGGCTACAGCTGGTATTAGCCTAGCTCACAGCAGCCTCAAACTCCTGGGCTCAAGTGATCCTCTTGGCTTCCCAGAGTGCTAGGATTATAGGTGGGAGTCACCACACCCAGCCTCTGTCAGTTGATTGTTTATTTTTTCATCTTATTATGGGTCATATTTTCCTGCTTCTTTGAATGCCTAATAATTTTTGACCAGATTCCAAATAGCACAAAAATTGGATTAGATTAGATTAGATTCCAAATAGTACAAAAAACCTACCTTGTTTTGTGTTGGTTATTTTTATATTCCTGTAAAGACTCTTGAAACAAATTGTTTGAAATAGTTTGATTCTTTAGGGCCTTGCTTTTAAGATTTGTGGGGTAGGCATGATGAAATGATCAGTCTGGTTGTAAATATTTTCCGCTCTGGAAGCAAGACCCCCTTGGTTTACTGTACCCCAGTGACTAATAAATTGTGAATTGCTCCAATCTGGGTAATGGAAACAGTACGATCCTGGTCCTGTGTGATGTGTGACTACCAGAAACTGCTACCTTTAATTCTTTCAGGTGGTTCTTTTCCTGGTCTCAGGCAGTTTTCTCACACACATGTGTTGATTATTTTTTTTTTGCTGCCAACATCATTACTCTGTGCAGCCCTGACTACTCTGTGCTGGGTTCTGCCACTGCCTCTCAAACTCTAAGCTTCTATTTTTTCTTTTCTTTCTTCTTTTTTTTTTTTTTTATTGCTGGGGATTTATTGAGGGTACAAAGATCCAGGTTACACTAATTGCCTTTGTCAGGCAAAGTCCCTCTTATAAATGTGTTCCTCCCCCAAGAGGTGTGCCAAACACCATGATGCCTCAGCCCCCTCCTTCCTTCCCTCTTTCTTCTCCTCCATTCCCCCACCCCCACCATGTATTGGGTCATCAATTATCCTCATATCAAAATTGAGGATTCTTGTTTCTCCATTCTTGTGATGCTTTACTAAGAAGAATGTATTCCACCTCCATCCAAGTTAGTACAAAAGATGTATAGTGTCTATCTGTTTTTAGTGGCTGAATATTTGACTCAGCATGTCTGCTGTTTTCCTTCCTGTGCCACAGCCTGGACTCTCTCTTAAGGAAGCCAGCTGGGGTCATCGTAGGTCTTACCTTTTGTGTCTTTCACGGATCAGCACCCTCCATGACTCCAGGGCCAGCCATTCTTTATCTTGCTGAAAAAAGAAGTCAAATTAAGAGAATTTCTTAAAGTTCTTTTTTATGTTTTCAACCATATTAGCTCAACTATGCTAGAATTTTTTGCTTTAGAAGATTTGTTTTTTATACTCAATTTAATTTGAAATCAGTATGTGAAATGCCTTTCTATTTAGCTTTCTTTGAGGAATCTCCTTGTTATGAAGAAAACATGGATTGGAAAATCATCAGTGATAATTACTTTACATTTTTAAATAACTTGCTGAAGTCTCCAGTGGCTTCCGTATCCAGGTAAGTTATCAGAATTCATCTTCCAGGTCTTGATTTAACTGTTATCAAAGCCTAATTATAGGACATGCATTCTGTAGCATTTATGAGCCTGATTTATGTTCTGACACAGTCTTTCATGTTAGGTGCTCACTACATATTTATTTACTAGAATATATGATTGAAGTTTCAGGTTGTTTTAATAGAATGTATGACTCAATGGATTTTGAAAGGAAGTACAGATTCTAGTAATAAGAATTCCCTTAAATAGTAACATGATTTTTGATAAATACTCCAAAAATGAAATTTTTTATTTGAAAAACGAGTTGCTTAGTATCTACTTGCTTAGTATTTAGATATGGAATCAATAGTTTAAATTTTGGTAGTTTCAGAGATTTTTGAGGAAGAAAGTGATTGTTGGAACTAAATCTGCTAGATTATTTTTTCTGCTATTCTATTTCAGCACATGCATTGAAATGGAGGTTTTTATGTTTGGTTATGGATATTGTGCACAATTGAAAGGCAAGCTTTATTGTTTCCAGGGTGTGTTGGGACATAATGAGGAAAAGCTTTGCATTTGAACAGCAGCAGTTCTTAAACTCAGGGAAGGATCAAACTTACCTGTAAAATGTGCTAAAAATACAAAGGCCTTCATCTTGTTCCAGACCTGTGAAATCTTGTCCTCTGTGTAGGACTCCGGTTTCTGTGTGTTTACCAATTTCTGTAGTTGGTTCTGGTGCACAGCAAAGTTTGAGGACTAGATCTGAGCTTTGTGACTCTCAGGGACATTTTTAAGCCTAGTAACTAGTACACCCAGAAGAAATGACAGTGGGATGGACCCTCTGGAGAATCAATTTCTTGCTTATTTCAGGTTTATAATGCCTCACTTTAATGAAAGTCTCAAATATTTAATAGTCTTAGAAAAACAGGGACAAAATCAGCCTATAAATGCTCCACGGGCATGTTTAATTTTACGTTTGAAGACTCATAGCTGTTGCTGCATGTCTGTCTGTGATGACAGATGGTAGATAATGAGGTGCTGACTTAATGAATGGAAAAAAAACTGGACATTAAGCATAATTCCTATTAAAAAAGCTGAATTTGAAATGAGAAAATCTGGGCCATGTCTTGTTAATGCTTCATAATAATAGCTTGAATCTGCTAATTTAAAAAAATGAAGCTTATTATTCATGAAATAGAAATAGCAAAGTGTACCTGGCATAGGAATGAATAAAGATCTCAGTTGTGAAAGTGCTTTATAAACTCTAAAGTGATGTAAACATGTGGCCATATTTCTATTAGTAGTACTATTTCTACTCTAGTTGTTACTCATTGCTACTATTAATATTCTAGAATCCTCTCAGTTCCTAATGCAATAGAGACAGTTTTGTGGACTCATCATTCAGTGCACTATGACTTGCATGGTAGTTATGCATGTATTTCCAGGCAAGCTTTGATTTAGGCAAGGTTTGTATTGAATTTCTAATAGGAGAACTTTGTTTTTCCTGACTGGGATTTTTCCCAGGAATTATTTCAAAACAGCTGCTCTCTGTATTATTTATAATGATAAACTACATTAAGCCTATAAACATAGGCTTTATTTATAAATTTAGTTTTATTTATTTATCTTATAAATATATAAGATATCGATATATTTATATACATAAATATCCATGTATATATTCTATATATTTGCATAAAATATAGTTATATTTGTATATATAAATATCCATGTATATATTTCTGTAAAAATATATTTCTATTTTTATATATAATTACATTATATATTTATAAATATGTATATTTGTATAATAAATAATTATTTGAAAGTGTGAGCACAAATGTCTTAACACTGTAATTGGGTAAATGAGGTGAAGCCTATGTTAATTAGTAGGATGTAAGCACTCCAATTTGTATAAATAATCAACACATTGAATCCCATAATGGCATAAAGGTATTCGTGATCTATGTACAAATGACTTAATAAAAAATAAATAATTATTTGTATAATATATGGATAAATATAAATAAATATTTGTATAACATATGAATGAATATAAATGTATATAGTTATATAATATATAAACATATTTATATAATATAAATATAAAACATATATATATTTTTATAATACATATAAATATTTTTATATCTCTGCCACCCTACCAGGGAGGAAAGCAACCTTTCTGACTTTGCTCTGTCTTACATTTGTTCTGGTTGGAGAGTATGTTACTCAACAGTAGTACAGAGTTAAAGAAGCTACAGAGTAATTCAACCCTTAGGGCATTCATAGCCAATAAAGGATGAAATACCTTACTCACAATTCTGAACTAAGTCTTAAAAATCTGAAAATGAAAGCTTTTCTTATGGGTGGCATCCTGATTTATTGAGCAGAGACTTTGCCTGGCCAGCGTGAACCACTTGAATCAATCCTGCACAGTGAGAGCAGTCACAGGTCTCACTGCCAAAGTGTTACTGTGTTGAAACCCGGGGCTGCCCCAGTCCCCAGTGAGGGGGGTGTTAACACATACCTGACACCTGTGCCATGTTACCTTTCTAAAGTCTGAATGTCTAAATTCTTAAGCACATATGGCCCCAAGAATTTCAAAATTGAGCTTGTAGCTTCTGAGATAGTAGAAGCTAATTCTACAAGTGTGGACTTCTACTCCACGAGTAGACTTGTCATCGTAGCCTCTGGGTTGTTCTGAGAACTCTCTGTATTTAAAAAATAAACATCTGCGAGAAAGTATTCTATCTAGAATAATGAATTTATAATAGTAGAATGTACAGTACAGTATTGTTGAAAGAGCACTGGAATTGCCTCTGGAGTAGGGATCACAACAGTTTCCCTTAAATTCTACAGGCAAGGTTTCTGAAGCATCACATTGAAATACCTCTACAAGACATTTTGAGATGTAGTATGGAACTGAATTCTAAAATTCTTCTGGCATAAATAGCAAACTTGTTTATAACCACGTGAATTTACAGGGAAAATAATTTAGAACACATTCTTTTTGAGTGTAGGAAACACGGTTTTAGCTAAATATATATAACTGCATTGTGGATTTCTAAAGTTTTAAAATGCACACATTAGTTTAATTTCTGTTGGGAAATACATTGTCTTTAGTGTATGTTTTACTTATGCTTTATAATCAATAAATGAGTATTAACTTGGGAACTTGATAGATTTTATTTATTTTTCTTTCTTTCATTCTATTAATATTACAGGACATTAAATTTCACAAAGCACCTTCTAATGATGGAAAAGAATTTGCATACCATTGAGGATGAACAAATAAACTTTCTTTTATCATTTGTAGAATTTGGGGAGAAATTATTATTGCCTAATTCTTTAAACTCACCCAGTGTTCCCAAATTTCATAACCTTCCATCTCTCATGGAGAATATTCTGAATTCAAGTATTTTGTGGATGAATCATTTAAAAAGTTTAGAGAAAAACTCGTCTTTCGTTGATACTCAGAAATTTTTAGAACTTAGCAAAGAAGTAATTGAAAAAATGCAAACTCTTGTAAGTCACTGGATAAGAAAGGAATCAAGAAATATTTTGAGATTCATGAAATTAATCCTTTTTGAAATTAATCCCAAGTTACTGGAATTGTGGCTCTATGGAATTTCAGAAGGAGAAAGAGCTGAATTGGAAAACTTCTCTGCAATTTTAAATTCTTCTGCTCCTAAAAATGCAATTTTTAGTAAATATTTTAATTTTTCTCAGTTATTCTATTCAGATTGGACAATATCACCAGCTATGAACATTGATTTTGTACATTTAAGTGAAATTATAATGAATAGTCTCTATGAATTTGGGTTTCTGAGTCAGACCCAAGTCTTAGAAGCTCTGAACACAGTCTATGCTATAAGAAATGTAACTGACCTTTTCTTAGTTCTTCCTGAACCTCAAAAACAAGAAGTTGATAAAATTTTGACTCATATATATCTAAATGTCTTCAAGGACAAGGATTCAGCTATACTGCTACAAATGTATTCTGCATTTTACCAATATCTGTATGAATTTCTGAGTATTCCAAGAAGAGGGTATTTGCTAACTTTCCTTGAGCAAATCTCAAAACACATTTTGGATATCTTAAAGCAATTTCATTTCCAAAAAATCAGTAAAGCATTTGCATTTTTATCTGAGACAGCAGAGGTTCTTGGGGGAATTTCAAAAGTATCCTATTGTCAGCAATTGCTTTCAATTCTTAACTTTTTGGAGCTCCAAGCCCAATCCCTGATGTCTACAGAGGGTGAAGAGGTGGAAATAATCTATGCTACTTTGACAGACTTCAAACAGCTTCTCACAGCAGATGAAGATTTTCGCATTTCTTTATTTCAATATGTGAATCAACTCTTCAATGATTCAACAGAAGCCCTGTTAGATAATAAATGCTTTGTTTTTGATAATAAACACATTTCTTCTGTGAATTATTCAACAGACAGGGGATCTTCTTTTATTCTTCCATGGGCACAAATTTTTTCAGACCTCTCAGCAAATGTCAGCATGTCCAAAGAGGTTATGGCCTTTCACTGTACTGTTTCATGGCTCCAAATGTGGACTGAAATCTGGGGAGGCATAGCTCAAATAATGAAGTTTGACATAAATGTTTTCACTTCTCTTCATGTTGGTCTCACTCAACTTTTGAATGAATTGGAAAATGTGAAAATTTCTAAAAGCTGCCAGGGAATACTTCCTAGTCATCATGTTGCTAGACTCCTATTAAATTTGTTTAAAAATGTAACTCAAACTGATGCCTTCCATGATTGGGATGATTTCCTGGATCTCAGGGATCTTTTGGTAGCACTAGGCAATGCATTAGCTCCAGTAAAATCACTTAACCTGGCCCAAGTGGAGAAATCCTTTTTTACCATGGAAACTGCCCTGCATCAGCTAAAGACATTTCCATTAAACACAAGTACGAGCAGAGAGTTTTTATATTCTCTGTGTGAAATTTTCACTGAGTTCAGCAATACCTCAGAATATGGAGGCAGAAACATAAATTTGACTACTCAGTTTCTTCCAAATAATCTCACAAATTATGGAGCAAAATTTGAAAATGTTATCACTGAGCTAAGAGAAATAATATTATTTCTTAGAAATGTGTTGCATGACCAAGATTTATTGTCCTGTGTTAATATTTTCCAAAATGTTACTGACTTTATTTTAGAAAATGGCTTATTGTATGTAAATACCTCACAGAGGACATTACATATTCTGACCATATTAAATTCCACATTTTCCTCTGAGAACACATTTAGCAGATTGAAAGGATGCATTGCATGGGTAGATGTCATAAACCATCTGTATGTGATATATAACTCAAGTTTTTCACAAGACCATCTTCAAAGTATTTTCGGGAGTTTCAGTGATGAGGAAAACAAAATGGACTCCATGTTGAAAATTGTAACTTCAATGTTAACTATAAAGGGACCTCTTTGTTCCCTGAATGAATCACATGTAAGTTGTGTAAATATTTACCTGAAAGATATAACTGACTTCCTAAATATTATACTTACCACAGTCTTTGAGAAAGAGAAGGAACCAAAATTTGAGATTTTATTAGCCCTTTTAAATGATTCCACAAAGCAAGTGAAAATGATTCTCAGCAACTTAACAAGAGATTTTGATATTGCATCTCAATCCAACTGGAAGCATTTTACTGAGTTATTCGTAAGACCCATAGAAATGTCAGATGAAATTCCTAATCAGTTTCAAAATATGTGGTTGTATTTCATAGAACTTGGGAAGGAATTTCAGAAACTTGTGAAACATGTTTCCCCCAACATTATGGAAAATAACTCGTCTTCTGAATCTGAGAAGTTTTTTAGTGTATTTGCCACCAGTCCAAAGGAAAAGCATGCCAACAGAGTGCGCGATTCCATTTATCGTTTAGCTAGTTACCTTGCCCTCAACTTGTCTCATGATCTCCAAAATTCACCAAAAATAATTTCACATGAAATAATGAAAGTTGTGGGTCTTTGTACTCAGCTGATGAGGGACGTGTTCAACTCCTTAATGCCTACAGTTCATTATAATATTCCACAAAATATAAGTCACGTTTTGGAGAAAGTAACTTCGCTTATGCGTTCTGTCAAGAAGGCAGACATAGACCTGTTGGTAGCTCAGCTTGAACAAATTAGTGCAGACCTGATGGATTTCTTTAAGAATATCAGTATAGTAGGAACTGGCAATTCAGGAGTCAACTTGCTTGTTGGTTTAATGGAAAAATTTGCAGAAAGTTCACATTCTTGGAACATTAACCACCTGCTGCGGCTCTCACGTCTGTTCCCTAAAGAGGATGTGAATGCTGTGGTGGAGGCCTACTACATGCTTCCTCGGGCCGTGAGGCTGCTGCAGAGAGTGGCTGATAAAAATATCACTGAGGGCCTCAAAGATGTCTATGACTTCACGCTCACTCATGGCATAAGCATTTCAAACATTACTAAGGAAGATTTTGCTATTGTGATAAAAACTCTTTTGGATTTCATTGAACTAATATCAGATCAACCAAATATCATTTCAGAGGTTTTAACTTGCCTTCCAGTGATCTGGTGCTGGAATCACACAACTTCTGGATTTCAGCAGGACACAAAGTTGAAAGCCTGTTATGTCCGAGAGTCTTCCTCCTTTTACAGCAAAGTGACCACTGTACTTGACCACCTTCACTTGTCTCCTCCAGTGGAAGATTCACAGTGTTCAGATGGAAGCTCCCACACAGAAATAACTAGGAAAGTGGTCTGTGGCATTCATGAGTTAGTGGGGTGGAATTCCATTCTGCTAGAACTGTCTGAAACTTCACTTACGAAAACTGTGCAAGAATTTTGGCATAAAATATTACCATTTGTTTTATCTTCTGAAAATGACAGCATCTCTGAACTTTGTCCTGATAGTCCCATAAAGCAAGTTGCTTTGCAACTCATAGAAAAACTAAAAAATGTCAATGTTACAAACATTCCATCAGGTGAAAACATTCTTGACAAACTAGCTAGTTTACACAAGATCTTTAATATTAATGGAGGCACAGAGTCATCTGCTCATAATAATATTTCCTTAAATTTGAAAAGTATGAGAAAATTGATTTCTAGGGATTGGAGCCTAGGAAATAGTATGCATGGAATGCTCTCTTCATTTATGACACTTCTGAATGCAAGTCTTACAGGCAGTGGTTTAGAAGCATTATCAAGTTTTATAGAAAAAAGTGAAGCCACTTTCAACTTTGAAGAACCGTGGCTTGAGTTTGAACAAACTGTGAAAGACCTGAAAGACTTAACCCAAGACTTTAGTTTCAGGCACCTGTTCTCTGAACTGAACAAAGAAATGCAAAGTATAAATTCAGTGGATCTTCAAAACATAACTTTGCAACTTGTCCATTTCCTGGAAATCATGGATTTATCATCAATAAACACATTAGAAATGACAGAGGATTTTCTATTCATCATGAAAAACTGGCTTCATAAATATGCAAATGAAGATTACTCCAGAATGATGCAAACGTTATTTCTTCTTATGGCAAATGAGAGCTCAACTGATGATATAGCTTTGTTGACTAGAGATATTATTACCTCTTTTGGCTCCCTAAAAAACTTTTCTAGGGAAGGCAATTCTGATGTCGCCTTTCTTACTCATCTGCTAAATCCAGAACAGCTAACTAATTTCTCGGTTGCTCAGTTGCTAATTAATTCAATCAATAACTTAGCTGGGAGTTCTCAAGAAGTGGCCTCAAATTTAAGTGAAGCCGACCTTCAAATAATGAATTTCATTAACCTCACCTTGAACCATATAGAGTTAGAAGCTCAGGGGAAAATAATTCTCCCTCCAAGAAACATAGTGGACTTCATAGAACAGCTTTTGAAAACATTCTTCTCCTTTTTAATTGAGGAAAATTCTGAGAACAAAATATCTCTTCTGTTAAAAGACTTGCACAAAGATGTTATTGCAGAGATGAGGTGAGTCTACTTTTGCTTTGTATAGTATATGGAATTGTGATAGACCTTAAGCCACTTTATTTTCTGGAGTATAGACATGTCAATAGCAGCACTTGGACCAAAGACCTTTGAAGGATAATATTTGAAGTGAATTTGTCTTATTAAATATTTAATCAAAATATCAAGGTAAATAATTTTGATTACTACCATCTTATAAGTAAGCATATAAACCTATCCCATTATAATTTATCACAAATATGTGATACTGTTTGTAAAATTTTTTTTTGTAAAGTAAATTTATTTCAGGTTAAGTGAGGGTGCAAACAACAGGTCAAAATATTTAATTTTGTTAGGTAGAGTCCCTCTTGTGTTAAAAATTTTGATTATAAGAAATGTTATGAATTCCATTTTATATGGAACTAAAATTTAGTAGTTTTTATAGATATATATGCATATGTAGCATAGTCATAATTTGAATTGCTGAATTAACTAATCACAAATGAGGGATTTAAATAGTCTTATTTCAGTTACTCTACTGTGATATTTACATCTGAAAACATTAAAATTGATAGTCACATTATCTTTATATATATGTTTGTGTGTGTGTGTATATATATATATTTTTTTTTTTTTTTTTTTTTGGTGGTGGTCCTCTGTAGGCCAGGATATTCATTCATTTCTAAAAATCTCTTTTGAAAGTTTCTAGTGAAAAATCTGGAAGGATAATGCAATCAGTGTGGCCTGGTTTCTTGTACCCTCAATGAATCCCCAAAAATAAATAAATAAAAAAATTTAAAAAAGAAAAAATTCTGGAGGGAAATTTCAGTTTATTCTATGATATCTGTTTCAGTCAGGGCTCAACTGTGGAACCATGACCCTAACGAGGACTTAATCCAAAGACTTGGCCTACACAGTTATGATGGGCTGCACAGGTGCATGGACTCAGTGAGTAGGCTGTCCAAAGTGACAACTTTGGCAGGCAGGGATGCCACAGCATGAGCTGAAGCTGAGGTCCACAGGTGGTGGTCAGGAAGGAAGACTGGGGGCCGGGGAGCCACTGCATATCCAGTGTTTTGGGGAGTTTCTGGATCCAGGAGGTCCCAACTGCTCTTTTTAAGCTTTTCAACTGACTATACCTTCCCTACTTAGGACGGTATCTCTTCTCATTAACTTAAGATAACTGATCAGAGACCTTAACTAGGTCTACAAAGTCCCTTCCTGGCAGCATAGAGAAACTATCCTGGAAATGGTATATTTATGCTACAGAATGGCCACCAACTCCCATTTATCATCCTCCACTGCTCATGAGGGAATCTCCCTTATAGCCCACCCAAACCAGAAACATATCGGAAAAGGGCATTCTGGGGTTCCATATTTCAGCCTAGCCAATTTGATCATGAAGCCATCACAGTGTCTAAGTGTTTCACTCATATTTTTAAATCCATACAAATAAAAACATGCTTACCCCTTTTTCAGAGATTTATCTTTTACATTGAGGAATCACTTTGTAATCATTTTGTCCTGTTTTCTAAGAGCAAAGTATGTGGCTTTTTAAGTTGCTAGGCTCAAGGAATTGAAATTGTTTATGAAATTTCTTCACTCTTGGCATTATTTGGCAAGAAAATGTTAAATTTCATCTGAAATTATTTTACCATGTCATCTTTCACTCGGTATTATCCTCCAACAGTATTATGACTCTATCGTAAAACAAAATTATAAAAATCATGATGTATTTTAATCTTTCCATTGCTAATGTATTAAACATGAAACTTTTACAGTTTTGTCCCAAAAGATAAAATTCTAGAAATTCTGAAACTGGATCAATTTCTTACCTTGATGAAAGAAGACAGATGGATTAGTATTTTCTCAAGTTTAAAGGAGACTATATATGATCTAATCAAAAACTCATTTGGATTAGACAGTGGAGAATTTTATTTTGATAGTCACCGAGGACTGGAGTTCATGCAGGATTTAGTTAACACTCTTCTAAGGGAAACCTCCATGAAAAATAAGACTGAAAATAATTTGGACTTTTTTGCAGTGGTGAGTCAATTGCTTTTTCATATGAATAATTCTGAGCACCTCTTCAAACTCAATCAGGATCTTAGGTCAGCTCTTTCCCTTGTGAGAGAATGTTCAGCAGAAACAGCAAATCTTATGGATACTCTTTTAAACTCTTCTAATAAGGACTTTCGTACCTTGTATCCTAGACTCCAAGAAGTTGTACTTGCTAATCTTACAGATTTGCTTTTCTTGATAAATAATTCATTCCTTCTAAGAAACAGTGCAACATTAGAAATTACTAGGAGATTACTTGGTGCTATTTCAAGAGTTGGTGAAGAAAGTTTTATCCCAGAACCCCTTTTAGAAATGTCTCAGACTCTGGCCATGCTGTTGAATGACAGTGCTGACCTGAGAGATCGTGCCACATTAGTGGATTCTATTGTGAAGCTCCTTAAACTGGCCAAGAAAGTTTCATTGAAGATTGACAAAATTTTTAAAGCTCATTTTGTCTCTGATACCAAGGATGCTATGAAATTCTTTGACACTCTCTATTCCATCATGCAACAAGGTGTTCAACATCTCCTGAAGCAAATAGCTACTTGGGAAAAAGTAGATGGTTTCATATTTGAAAAGATAAATGTCTTGTTGAAACCCTTTCTTGACTTGGCATTTGGAAGGACTGGAGTCAAACCTTCTGTATCAGAGGACTCTGATGTTTTCAATATGTCATTCTTCATACTCTCATATGTGAACCAATCCGAGGACTTTTCTGATACTTTGGAAGAAATCGCTGAATTTTTAACATCCACAAAAATCAACTTGGGAGAAATGGAGCGTCTTGTGGTAGCATTTAATAATGGGACCCAAACATTTTCTCTGGATTCAGTCAACTCCTGGGAAGGAATTCTAGATTGCCTAGTTCCTATAAATAATATCACCAATCAAATGGACTTCTTACATCCTAATCCAACTTCCACAAAGATTTACCCTCAAGACATAAGATGGGAAGTAATTCATGAAGTGATCTCTTTTTGGGATAAAATGTTATCACAAAACAGCACAGAAATAGGGTCTTACTTGAAAAAGGTGATTGATCTCAGCTTAGAACCTCTTTGGAACAGTTTAAAGAAGGATCATTGGGATGTTTTTAATCTGTTGCTGACATTTCTGCAGCATCCACATAACCTTTTGAAAACCATAGAAACAGTTGTGGAGGCCTCCAGTGGAATTAAAAACGGCTATGGGGATGATTTGAGTAAAGTTTTATTTTTTGACACATCTTTGACTCAGAACATAACTCATCAACTTGAGAAAGCAGTCCAGGTTGTTTTAAGTAGACTAGTTCTTTGGCGGAAAGGGCTTCTGCCAAACAACAGCCAGTGGATAAATTCCACAAGAACTTTGTTTCTACCAGTTTTTGAGATTTTGATTAATGCAACCACTGGAAAGAATGTCACATCAGAAAAAGAGAACAAGACCAAGGAAGAGATGATCAATTTTTCATATGGCTTCAAATTATTATCACGTTTTGAGAAATACCTGAAGGGATTATTTGCATTAACTAAATACTGGCAAAAAATCTCACTGACAGACCAAAGGTAAGAAAACACCTAATTCATTCATTCATTCATTCATTCATTCCTTCCTTCCTTCCTTCCTTCCTTTCTTTCTTTCTTTTCTTTCTTTCTTTTTTCCTTTTTTTCCGTTCTCTCTTTCTTTCTCTTCTCCTCCTTCTTCTCCTTCTCCTCCTCCTTCTTCTCCTTCTTCTCCTTCTCCTCCTTCCTTCTTCCTTCTTCCTTTTTTCTTCTTAAAATAGAACCATGCAGAAATTACATGGAACTAGGGTAAATGGTTCTTCTCAGCTTCAACTTTCATTGTACCCTGACATTGGCTTCCAGGGTAGAGTGACTCAGTCCAGTCTTTCACTGTTTCACTCATCATTTGGAATTTAAGTAGGATTTGAATGTATTCAGAATATCTCAAAAGTATTTTCAAAAGTAAAACTTCTTGCTGGGTGTGGTGGCTCTTTCCTATAAACCTAGTATTATAGTGGATTGCTTGAGCTCAGGAGTTTGAGACTAGCCTCAAAAAGAGTGAGACACCATCTCTACTAAAAATAGAAAAACTAGACAGGAGTAGTAGTGGGTGCCTGTAGTCCCAGCTACCTGGAAGCCAAGGCAGGTGGACCACTTGAGTTCAGGAGTTTAAGACCAGCCTGAACAAAAGTGAGATCCTGTCTCTACTAAAAATAGAAGAAACTAGCCAAGCCTGGTAGTGGGCACCTGTAGTCCTAGCTACTTGGGAGGCTAAAGCAAGAGGATTGCTTGAGTTCAGGAGTTTGAGATTGCTGTGAGCTATTTTTCTTTCACATCCTCTGGCAGCTGAAGGTCCTATTATTTTATCTAATATGTGGGCAAGAATATGAAGCTGTTCCCTTCATGCAGAAAACTGTGTTTCTGGTTGTAACTGAGCACAGGAGAGGTCCAGGAAGCTAGTGGCTTCTGCCTTGTTTAGATTCAGCCCAACTCTACATGACTGATCCACCTCTGAGCCTTTCTGTCCCTGACCGTGAGGTCAATGGAAACTTGTACTTACGAGGTCCAGTCCTGTTAGCTGTCAAGCTCGGCAAGTAGGCTGTTGCCTTAGGTTGGAGGACTGTGCCTCTTGGCGTGCAGAGTCCCAGAGATGTTGCAGCTGCCCCACACATCTGTTCTGTATGTGGCCATTCTGTATTTGAACAGGTCACTGTCCCTGCCTGCCCTACCTTTCTTTCAGTTCCACGTGGAGATCTGAGGTACCATCTCAATCCTCCTTCATTTGCCAGACAAGCTGACCTATTTTCTGCTAGTTCTGTTACTATAGAGCTGTACCTTGAATCCAATTATTTATTTTTTTATTGTTGGGGATTCATTAAGGGTACAAGAAATCAGGTCACACTGATTGCATTTGTTAGGTAAAGTCCCTCTTACAATTGAATCCAATTATTTTCAAAGCTTGGAATGATGCCCTCAGTTAACGACACAGGTGTCCATTGGCACAGAGAACCATCACTACGTTGAATTTGACTGCTAACTTTCAGAGCGTCCTGCTCTCTCCTCACTGCCTCTGACCCCGAAGTCTACTCTGTTTGACTTTAGTGTTCTGCTCCAAATTTCCCCGTTTTCCATCATCTCAGCATTTATCTCAACTCTTTCAGTTTTCCATAGAGGAAATTTACACCAAAGCTCTGTATACCATTGTGTTTTGACACCTTTAATCATTTACCATTTCACTTTAAGAGAATAAATTAAGAAGAGAAAGCAAATATTTTTACTAGCAACTAAATTGATGTTTTGAACTAAAGTAGGAGACATAAAGTTTTCTAAACACCTAGACTGTGTTATCTGTGTTTTCCTTACGCTCCTGGAAAATGACTATGGTTATACGTGGAGGACAGTCCTTCCATGTGTGGAATTCTCAGCCTTCTGCACTATACAGATGCATACGGGATGCAGATTTTCACCCTTTGATGCCTTTGTCTATCTTTTTCCTAAGTGTTGTTGAGATGTGTCAAGTTTCCCGGCATCCTGTGAAGCCTTCAGCGGCCATCAAGATGCTGCAGAAAGTGAAGATGACGGTTTTGCATGTGCTCATGGCCTTTGCAGGTGGGCTGCTTATGTAAGAAGTGCTCAATAATTGCCCTGCTCCAGTTTTCAGAGCTTGGCTGTCAGGGAGACCTGCAGCTTGCTGCTGAGTTGCTTTTAGAACAAAGCACAGCCTCTGAGCCTGGCTTCTGGGCCACCCTTTCCCACTTCATCCCTACCACAGGCCTCTGCTACAGCCAAACTGCACTGCCCCTTCCTACCACTGTGCTGGGCTTCCTGGGTTTCGTGTCTTTGCTCACAGAGCGCACTTGCCCTATCTAAAGTCCACCTGTGCCCTCTGGCCCAGAGCAGAGGCATCTCACCTAGAAGGACTGCCCCATCTCTTTCACCAGCAGGGATATGAAGGAGACTGAGCAAATGCAATCCTGTACATATGTCATTCCTTCTCTTATTTCTTATCTCCCACCCCCACGAGAATCCATCTTTTGAAGATAGTAACCATGTTGTAATCTCTTGTGCGCATCTGTGCCTGGCATGGAGGATGCATTCCCTCGCTGTGTGCCAGGTGCCCGGTGTAGTAACCTGAGTTCCTCAGAAGTTCTTCCTGCCTGCTAGTCTTTGGTCCCTCATTTTCCTGCAGTAGTCTGTAATCTCGCTGAATGTAAGCTCTGTCTGTTGCTAAACTATGTGCCTCCATCGTACGCAGTATAACATCCAGCAATAGTGAGTGATTCAGTTGTACGTGAGTTAATTTTCCTGCTAAGACCATTTTACAAATCCACTACTGTGTATTTCAGGGCAGTCTCCGCTGCCACTGCTGAGAGTTCCATGAGCTGCCTCAGAGGGTTCTCTGATATGCCAATTTTAGGCTTCAGAGCACATCCAGAGCCTTGAGATGGGCTGTGGCTGTGTAAGTGACTCACATGTGCACATGAGCTGCTGGCCTCTAGTTCAGGGGACTGCTGGGCCACAGCTCTGAGCTGGCTGAGGGCAGTGGATGCTGGTGGATGAATCTGAGCACAGCGAGTAGGGGCTGGAAGCAGAAAGGGGGAATCTCAGGTGGATTTGATCAAACCAAGATGAAAAGAGGGAAGGGAGAAGTCACATGTACCCGAGGCCCTCATCCCTGTGTGGAGCTCTGCAGGCTGCCCGGGCCTCCCTGTGCTTTCCAGCCCTGTCATCCCACATGTCGCTCTCCTGCTTACCCCCAGCTTACTGAGCAATTGTTGTTACGACTTAGATTACTATTAGATTATTTTATTTTCCATCCTAGATTAGGTGTTACTGCCTCTGGAAAGCTTTTCAGATGATCCTGCCCCGTGGTGGCCTGACTGAGGTCAGGTAGCCCTGCTAGGGCTCCCCGGTCCCCACCCCAGTGGCCTGACCTCCTTGCTTGTAGTCTGTAATCTTGTGGAAGGTAAACTCTGTTGATAAACTGTGTGCCTCCATCATACTCAGCATAAAGTCCAGCAATAGTTCTGGTGATGAAACAGTGTCTCTTCTATAGCATGAGGACAGTGCCTGTCTGTTGATCATTATAAACCCTGAGTATGGCGGTTAGAACATAAGAGATGTGGATTGATGTTTGTTCAATGAATGTATAAATGAAAGCCAGGAGCCCATCTGTGCTTAATCTGGGTTCACTGGGCTCCCTAAGCAAGCAATCCGTCCACCTGGGAATGTTCTGCTGCAGGAGACAGCGGACGGGCCTCTGTGTGCTCTGGGCCCATTTTGTACTATTGAGCTGGCCCAGTGGGGCAGGGGAGGATGTTGTGGAAAGAAGAGTCTGGCATCCTGTGAAGAGGCACAGTGGGTGCACACCCAAACACCCACCCCCCCAGAAGGGGGGCCCGGAGTGCAGACCAGCATTGGAGAGGGGAAGTGAGGGGCAGTGAGCCTTAGGCAGAACCAGCATGTCAAATGCTTTTCAGATTGTGTGTGAAAACCCCACACTGTACCCCAGAAGTGCATCAATGTACATAGTTACTATTCAATAAAAATAAATAAATAAATAAATAAATAAAAATAAACTCAAAGAAGTAAGATAAACTCCGGTACTGATAAATGTTAGGAAGAAGCTAAAATAAGGTGGTCCAGGTGAAAGTGAGAGGAGGAGGAGAGGAGGAGCCCCTGGGTCACAGATCTGTGTGGGACATTTTGGGTGAGACCTGAGAGGTGAGAACGTGTGTCTGCCACATCCACTGTCACATTCTTCAGGTTCTAGAAACACTCTGACATGGGCGTGGAAGGCATCAATCAATATGTGTAGAAGGATTGGATGGATCTGTGTGAGCGCTGGCACTAGGTGGCCACTTGCCACGGTTGGGTTAATGTACACAACAGGCTTTGGGGTCTGGCAAACCTGCTTCCTTGGTAACACAATGGGCCACTTGTGATCATTCACCGTTGCATCTGGTAAGGTGTCATCATTCTCACACATCGGCAGGTGCAGGATCAAACTTGACACTTACAAGCGGTGGTATGAAAGTAGTGTAACGAAAGGAGCAGGTGCTTTACACCAAACCAGCCACGTTTGACTCTCTGGGCTAGCTGAGTGCCTCAGGGTAGCTACTGCGTCTCTGGGAGCCTTGAGTAAGGGATGAGGTGACACCTTATCTCAAAGTGCAGTTGAGAGGGTTAAATAAAACGGGGCCACAAGTGCAACTCACCTCCAGAGCCTCACTTGTCGTGGGTGCCTGTTGCACGCTGGTTCCCTTTCCTGGTCATGGTGCAAACTGAAGGAGGGTCTCCCTGTACACCATTGGGAAAAACCCTTCTCAGACTATAAAGACCTGTTTCCACATGGGAATTGGTAATTTAGGGACTGTCATGGAATCAGCCGTAAGCTACCCACTCACCTCTTTTCTGTAATACAAACATTTCTTTAGACCCAAGAATTGATCGATTAGTTTTTTGGCTTGAGAAACAGAGGGAGGAGGGAAGCAAGACAACCTTGCTCAGATGAAACCCCAGCTGCTACAGAGGGGTTCTGTGTGGGTTTTTTTTAAAATACAATCTGTATGTCACATTAGATGGTGTGAACACTGGCGATATGGTTGAACATAAAGTGACAGAGTATTACATATTTAAGGACACCTTAGGATGGTCAGTGAAAGATCTCAGCATGTGGAATCACGCTCCAGCAGAATCCAAACCTCTTTCTGCTTTGCACATGCTTATCTGGCATATTGAATTCAGCCATGTTTGAAGACTTAATTATTTTGACATTTCATAGTCAGCTAGTGTAATGGCTTTTAAATGAATTAAACATTTATTAAGGCCAGAATTTATATTTATTTTGCCATTCTGTGTTGTAGCTTCTAAGTTAATATAGCATACTTGAAATCACATTAGTAACAGAAAATTAATTTTTAAGTTTTATATTTTATTTCAAGGAAACTCGAGCATGACTGATATTTAAACTGCCACCCTACTTTCCTTATTGAGCTGTCACCCCATCATAGGTGTGGTAGTGTCAGATCCAGAAAAGGTAAAAGGGCCACCCCACAAAGATTTGAGGTGGAATGGATCAAAAGGAGCAGGTGGCTCCTCTTCTATTGCACAAAAGGAATAGTAGTTGAATCAGTTGTTATTATCATTATTGAGAATGAAGAAGTGTTGTGCCCTGCCACAGAGCTGAGTTCAGGAAATCCATGAGAGATGTTGTCATAACTCCTCCCCTTATCTAATGCTTTATATATGGCAACAACAGTTGCAGGAGAGGCCAGTAGGCTGAAGGAAAACCCTCAGTGGGCCTTCTAGTTTCATGGTCTGGCAAACTGAAGACCAGAGGGTGTGAGTGAGTTACTCGGGGTTTCTGGGTGAAGAAGTCAGAGCCCATCCCAGTCCATAGGGCTGGAGGGTGCAGAGTGGAGGGGTTTGGGGTATGTGGTCTGGAAAGCCACAGCTAGGTGTCTGAATGTGTCCGCAGAGCCAGGAAGAGGGGCGCGAGCAAGTAGGAAGTGCTGGAACCAGGCATGAGAAGCTGCAATGTGAAGTGGAGAGAGAGGGGCTGGGAGAGTGGGAGGAGCCACAGCTCCCCTCAGGCTTTCACTAGAGTCCGGACACTTGTCAACTGCCCTCAGGGGCCAGCTGCCAGGCAACATCAGATGTGGGGGAAGATTGGGGCCAGGTGGCCTGACAGCTCAGCACAGCTTCCTGTGGCCATATCACCCCTGGTCCACGCTTGCAGAAATCCCGGGTGTGGTTGCTGTCTAGTCCACATCATCATTTTACATTGAGGAAAGAAAGGGTGGACACAGCTCACAACTTGCCTAATGCCACGCCTTTATATGTCAGCTTTTTCCTGTTCTTTCTGGCTTGAAAAGTGTAATTTCTAAACAGGTTGTCTTCTCCAAAGCAGAGAGTTCATTTATGCGTAAAGATCAATGCTGTGACGCCCACCACGGTGGTGCATTTGTTAACCACTAAGAGCGAGCTGACACATCCTTATCATGGGGTCCACAGTGCCCATCAGGGGGCGCTCCTGTGCTACCATCTTGTGTAATGCACATGCGTGATGTACACGCGTGATGCTCACGTCCGTGGTTGCGGAGTCACACCGTCCTTCACTGCCCTGAAGGTCCTCCTCGCTCTGCCTCTCCATCCCTCCCTTCCCCCACCCCTGGCAACCACTGATATTTTTACTGTCTCCCCAGGTTTACCGTTTCTAGAATGTCGTGGAGTCAAAATCACACAATATATAACCTTTTTCAGAAGGGTTTTCTTCACTTAGTAATGTGCCAAAACTGTTTTCTTAAAACTACTTTTGAGAAATAAGGTAATGTTTTAGAAGTCGGAATTTAACTTTTTCTTTAATTGAAAAAAATACAAAAAGATGGTATTCTTCATCAAAATACATTTTATTTTCTGTCATGACCAAGCAGCTAGAAGGCAAAAAGCCAGGTACCAGGAGCCAGAATGACAGGAAGGCAGAGGTGAGGAAGCCCCGAGGTGCATGGGAGTCCTGTGCTGTGGGTTAACCGTGCAGCTGGCCATCCTACAGTGGGGAAAGCACCCGGGACCTGCACAGCAGCAGGGCAGGGGGCTCCTGGCCAGGCTGGGGAGAGGCAGGTGTCCTGAGCCAGAGCTCTGAAATGTTAGTAGGTTTAGGAAGACAATAGTGGAACCTTGAGCAGGTGGCCATAAGCAGAGGAACATGGGGCCTGGGTGCTGAGGGGATGGGGCAGCCTGTGGCTGCAGAAAGGCTTTGGATGCAATGTAGAGCCCTGTAGCTCAGAGTAAAGGGAGATTGGAGAGGTGAGATGGAAATGGGCCCAGTTAGGGAGGAGCCTGGCACTCTCCTGGGTCTGACCTGGTGGAGGCTGGACAAAGGCATGAATCACAAACTGTGGGTCACTGGCATTCAAGCTGAGCCCATGGAGAGACTGGTTGCTGTGAGGACCAATGCACAGGTGAGGGGCATGGGTGTCTTCTAGTCCATGCCTTGTGAGGGCAGCAGATGAGGAAGACCACAAATAGGTGTGTACGTAGTTCCTCCTTCAAACCCAGGCACTTGTGAGAATGACAGCGTGCACTGTTCATAAAACCAATATTGTCCTGGGCTATCTGGGGTGAATGGGTACATTGCACATGGGTAATACACACGTCCACTGTTGTGAAGTCACACAGTCCTTCACTGCCCTGAAGGAGGGAATACAGGAAGTGTTCCATTCTGGGGAGGTAGAAGAAGTTAATTTCTACAAAATTAATTAGACCCCAAACAAACCAAGTCTTTATTTAATTACATTTGGAACTCAAAAGGCATAGTTTTGCCCTCATCACCTGTGTATTCATCTTGATAATTTAAGAAATCTTGATAATTCAGAAATTTTTATCATTTTGAATCTTTTAAAAATGATTTTGTGAGAGTGGCTAGTTTAAGAGAGGACTGATTACTAATTACTTCTCTCTGTGTTTCTTCTGGCAGAAAACCCTTCCTTGACCAAGGACATTTTGTGTGCTACTCTGAGTTGCAAGCAAGGTGGGATACGGCATCTCGTTTTATCTGCCATCCAAGGTGTCACTTTGGCACGTGACCACTATCAGGTTTGTTGTCTTCTATATTTCAGAGGATTTCATGTTAGTTACACTGGGCCCTTACAAGGCAGTCAGGTCATCCAAGCTTGCTGCATGGTGCCTCTAGCCACAGCAGCTGTGTTACTCATGGTCTGTTGGAAGGTAGCCTTGCAGAACGTTTGCTCACCCTTCCTGCCTCACAGGTTCTCCCAGTGGTATCCCAGGTTGACAGGCACCAAGTAATGAGAGCTGATTGTTAGTTTCCAGGAATTTTGCAATCTGGTTGTTAAACATAGACATAATTAAAAATCATATTATATAAACTTACGATGAAATAAATCATGTTAAAAACAAAAGTAATATATACCCGAGACTCCTCACTTCCTAATTGTCTTAGTATGTTGCACTGTTTTCTACCCTTCTGAGATTATTTGTACCTGTTAAATCTAGGTGATGGAGATACCATATGGTTTGTGCTGCTGGGTAGTTCTTCCAGTTCTGTGTCCAGTAGGACCAGGTTGGTAGCTTGAACTAGCCATGTGGGAGCATTTACACCATGGACATTGGCAAGTGCTACAAATACAATTCTTTTTTTCCTAGAGAGTTAATTTGTAAATGTTTACCATCCCATTACTGGGCTGTAACTAATCAAATATACCACCAAGCCCTGAGAACTAATGGCTAAATGGGAACTGGCACAGCAGCCCTTTTTTTTTTTTTTTTGATTTGGACAAGTGCCCAGTGGGCTTCCATGCAGGGTCTGTCCAAACAAAGCTGGACAGATGATGTGATTTTTATCTGCGACCTATTCTCTTGCCTTAGAATTAAAGACCACCGGGTTCAAAAGCAGGAAGTCTGTCCTGCTTAAGAAGCTTGCACAGTGGGCTTATCCAATCAACAGTGGGCTGAGGACTTTCTTTCCTGTAAATCCAGTTCCAAATGTTGTTTGTTGCTTTTGTGGTACAGTAACTCTGGCCCATCATATATCTATCTAGTGAGTGTTGGATTATCATAGAAAGCAGAGAGATGGATGATGGCAAGAGGATCAAAGATGGCATGGTAAGGGTGTGGACGGCCTCTTCTCTGGGAAATGAAGGAAGGAAGGAGAGTGCTAATCACCAAAGGGGCCTTTGGTGGAGCGGAGCCCGTGAGCAGGAAGCCCTGTGCAGTCCCTAGAGACTGTTGCTTTTGTAGCCCCAGTTACCGGTCATGTTCACACCAAGTTATTTAGACAACCACATTTTTAAATTTTCTTTGGGCAACAGGATAGTTTTTAAAATAAAAATACCATTTTATCTCTCAGGTAGCATAATAGCTTTACTAGGGCTCAATAATGTTCCCAGTTTTCTTCCCCTTCCTGGACATAGGGAAGGATTATGCTCCTCCCTGAAGCTAGGCATGTAGTTCATGGCTCACTTTAGCTAATAAGGTCTGAGTGGCTAGACAAACTGATTAACACTATTTCTAATGTTAATAATGGACTTAACATTATTCCAATATGTAGTAAAAATACAAAATGAAATCCCACTTAAAATCTGTTAGGATTTATGATTTTTCTTTGTTTTAATTTCAGCTTAATGTGAGGGTACAAACAGCCAGATCACAATATTTGAATGTATCAGGTAGAGTCCCTCTGTAGTTGTGTCCCACACCCACATGGTGTGCCCTACCTTGTGCACGTTAAGTAGGAGCACATCAATTCCCCCTTTCCCTCTCTCTTGTTCCCCCTCTCCCCAACTCGAATTAAAATGAATTTTTCTCCTATGTGAGTGTGAATTATTAGATCATCTATGGGCTTCAAAGCATGATGGTTAGATACCACCATGATGGCCATGTCTGAACTGTAAACGTGTTGTCAGGGCCAAGAGTTTCTTCTATCCTTGTCAAGAGGAGTGCTAACCTTCTCTCCTTTCATACAGCACTAGATAACAATTTCTTATTTCCAGGTTGTGCAGATCTTTGTCAGGTATTAAATACACAGGAAAAAAAAGCCTTACAGAAAATTTTTGAGTCCTGCATGAACATTGTGATGATTAAACAGGCAAGAGACTTCAGCGTTAAAAACAACTGATTCAGGCTGGGCTCAGCGGCTCACTCCTGTAATCCTAGAACTCTAGGAACTAAGTGGGTGGATTGCTTGAGTGTAGAGTTTGAGACCAGCCTGAGTAAGAGTGGGACCCTGTCTCTACTAACAATAGAAAAACTAGCCAGCTGTTGTGGCAGGTGCTTGTAGTCTAAGTTACTTGGGATTGCTGAGGGCAGAGGATTGCTTTAGTCTGAAAGTTTGAGATTGCTGTGAGCTATGATGATGACAGGACACTCTATCCTGGGTGAAAGAGTAAGACTCTATCTCAAAAACAAACAAACAAAAAGATTCAAGGACTGTATTTATAGTTCAAGTAGTTATACAACTGTCAACAATTCTGGGTGATAATAGTTAAGTTCATTTTGATAAAGAGCCCAAGTGCCTGTCTTTAGTAATGAAATAGAACTTTGGTTATCTCAGGCTGTTGGACCTCTAGGATGGGTCTGTAGGTCAAATGTATAAGACTTGTAGAAATATGACATATAAATCTTTCCAGGCTGTGGAATATGAGTGCCTGGCAGTGGTAGGCAAAAGACACAATGCCGCGTTTAGTTTTTCAAAATCTAAATAAATATTCTAGCATATAGTTTTCTTAGTGCTAACACAGAATTCCAATTGGAAGTGAAAGTCTCAGCTAATCACCAGGATAGGATGCAAGTTCAGGGTGTAAGTTCTATACCCTTTTCCATGGTTTGTTCCAAACAGTAGAAGGTAGCAATGAGGAGTAGAATAGGGATAGAAACAAAATTTCAAAAATGAAAGCGAGTGCCCAGTGAGTCTCAAAAGTTCTGGGATAAGCTGAATCGGAGACTGTGGCTAGAACCCCTGGTGGAACATGGGCTTCCTGTCACCTTCCTAAATCTAGACCTTTAGGCCCACCTGTGCACACTTCCCTGTGAGTTCCTGGACTGCTACAGGCCCGATCTCTCCAGAGAGGGAGGGACTGGCATGTGCCATCTTTTCCATATGGTGATTTTATCCTGCCCCCAAGTATAGTCGAGTGCTGTCCACCTCCTCCTGTGTGTTGGCTGTCTCTCCTTACAGCCTGGTACACTTGTGCTGAAGAAAGCTGGAACTTTTCTTCCATTGGTTCCCAATATTGGGGTGGAATGTACACTTTCTACTTTATAATCCTCTCTACATCAAAATTATTACCTTGTATGACATCTATAGCAGGAAAATTATAAATGCATTGAGTAAAATTCATTTGTGTATAGTAACAGATTATGAACTTTAGGGGTTCCTTCCTACAAGGGCATGTTCCATGCATGACAGAATCCCTTGTGCTATGAATTTAATTCACTCCGTGTTCTCAGAAGTGAGTGGCTCCTCAGGGGACACTCGTCTATACCTACTGTTATGACTTTGTTGTATCTGTGCACCAGTGTGCTACAAAGAGGGGCCTCCAAGGAGGAAGGAGAATACTGGGCCTGTGAAATGTTTGGGGGAGAAAACTGGGGAAGGTTCAGAAAGATCCACACTCAGGAGAAAGAGCATGTTATCAGAAATGGACACACAGATTGGAGACGCAGGACTGGGCCCAGAAGTCTCTCTGCCTCGTGGAGGCATTGCATGAGTTTGGGGCCATCATGTCCCTTTTTCCTGTGGTTATGGTCAGACAATGACCTAGGTCTATGCACCTGTCCTTAGGGACAATGAGTGAGGGGAAGCTGGAGGAGGCTGTGTCTCTCAGGACAGAGCAGGCAGTGGAGGGAAAGGAAAGGAAAGGAAGGGAAAGGAGTCTGCCTGTCCTTGAGTCCTGCCACAGATAGAAAAACCAGAGAGTGGGCTGAGCTGATCACATACTGTTAGGCCCAGCAGGTTGCAGACACCACTCCACCAGGCCGTCCTGTCAAGGTGACCCAACATGACTGAGTCTGAGTGTGGCCTTGACACAGACTTGCCCTCTCCCCAGCCTTTCTGCACTGGGTTCAGAGGACCCCCAACCCCCGGCTCCCCGGCTGATCACCTCCACTTCCACGCCTGGTTCCTGTACATGCTGAGTGGCCCAGGCTCAGTCTCCAGACCTCTCCTCTCCTCTTTCTGGGCTTACTTAGCAGGCAGTCTCATTCAGATTCTCCTAAAAGTTCCAATTACTTCCTGACCACTTTCACATCTCCTTCTCCGGCTAAGACCTCCTCTGAACTCTGGGCCAGTGTGTTCAGTCACCTCCTTGGCTTGTACACTTAGATGTCAGGCAGCCTCTCAACTCTGTCAGTCTGGGCAAAGGCTCTCGACCTTCTCACCCAAATTTTCCCTCCCCTGGTGCTCTTTTCCTCAGATGCTTGGGGTAGTGACCTTGGCACACCTATGAATTCTTTTCCCTTCCTTCCTTCCTTCCTTCCTTTCTTTATTCTTCTTCTTCTTTTTTTTTTTTTTTTTTATAAGCAACAGAAATTTATTTCTCACAGTTCTAGAGGCTGGGAAGTCCAAGATTATGGTATCAGTAGATTTGATGTCTGGAGAGGGCCAGTTTCTCATAGATGGTAACTTCTATGTGTCCTCACATGGGAGGGATAAATAAAATCCTTCTGGCTCCTTTTATAGGGTCACCAATCTCATTCATAGGGTGGACCCCTCATGAGCTAGTCACCTCCATCTCATAGTATCGCATGGAAATTAAGTTTCAAAATATGAATTTTGCAGTGGCACCAACATTTAGACCAGCAGTTCTCAACCACAGGAACTGTATTAAAGGGTTGTGGCATTAGGAAGGTCAAGAATCACTGACTTAGACGATAGCAAAAACTCAGGCTGATAAAGGAAAAGAAGGACTTAGTCAATTCAAACAGGGGGAGGGAATTTCCCGTACAAGAGGAACACCTTTTGCAGAAACTTGAAGCAAGGAATGAATTGGTATCGTTTTAGAACTGACATAGGAGAAGTGTGTTTTCTCGAGTAGTGTGTGATGGTGGGAGGTGAAGTGTAAGGTCAGGTGTTGTAAGGACAAGAACTGAAGCAGGGAGACGAGTTAGAAGGCTATTGTGGTCATGCAGAAAAGGGATAGTTGTGTAAGGTGGCTACAGAGAAGCAGAGAAGTAGAATTTAATATGAATTTTAGAGGAAAAGGTCAATGGGCTTGTTAACGTATTGTCTGTAGGGAGTGCTGAAAGGAGAAGAGTAAGTGGTGACTTTTAGACTTCTAAAGTTTCTAGTTTGTGGGATTCGACCACTGGAGACTTAATGTTTTGAGGGAGAAGAGATTTGAAAGTGAAGAGTGACTCTGAGATGGGAAAGAAGAGTTTCATTTTAGCCTGTAAATCTGAAATACCTGTGAGATATTTAAAGAAAATGTGAAGGAAGCAATTGCATCTGAGCCTTTCATTCCTTGAGAGTGAAACTGATTGATTGCCTAGAAGGGGGTGTACTGAGCGAGAAGGCGCAGTAAGTAACAGAATCTGATGATGCTTTGGAAGGCTCACTCTGCTACCAGGTTGAGGATGGAGCTCAGAGGAGGAAGTTCTAGATATGCAGTAGGTGGAAGAATGTGGCCAGATTCTGGAAACATTTAGAAGGTAGAACAAACAGAGTTTGCTAAAAACAAAAACAAAACCAAACCATGAAGGAGTTTGTGTTCAGGTCTGTGAGGCCATCCCGTCAAACCTCCTGCCTTGTCCTCCCATTCTTCTTCTTCACTTCACCTGCGTGTGCCAACCCGTCACTTCACCTGCGTGTGCCAACCCGTCACTTCACCTGCGTGTGCCAACCCATTTGTCCCCTGCACGTGTGCTGAGATGTGCACCTCCCAGAGCTGGGGTTTGCCTCCTCCAGCCCCAGTGCCTCACTTGGCTTGGCCCTTGGGGGGTACCCAATTTTTGAACAAATGATGGACAATCCTGTAGAATTTCTTTTCTAGTTTCACCCCCAAATCACTTGGGAAAAAGTGAATGTGGGAAGTGAACCATACTGATGGATAAATTGGAGGCAGGGGTCACATGTTGCAGGATGACCACTGGCTCACCTTCTCCTCCACGAGGTGAGGTGGTGGCAGTCGGTGGTGGAGACGTCGACGGAGCTGTGGTCACGGGTTAGCACTCTCAGTCCCCCTAACGCTCAGGGTCCTCATCGCGACGTCTCAGCAGCTTTCACATTTAACTTTCCTTGGAACATACATTTGTTGGCTCCCTCTAGTCACTTGAACGATTCATGATTTTCTCCTGAAAGAGAAACTGACAGTGTTTTGAGAATAATATTTACAAGTTTTATTTAGACAGAAATGTTATCTGAGTGTTGACCTACATATGACACCTTCCCATAATTGGCATAATCTGGAACTATGCTTCCTATTACAGTAAGAAACAGATGATACAAATGAAATGTGATGGAGCAAATAAATTATGATGATATGAAATAAATTATAAAGGGTAGAATAGCTGTGTTCACTGTTCATAGGTTGATACGTGTGTCTGTAGACACAGATGCAAATACGTGTGCTGCTTCTAAGGTTGTCACATATGTTAAATTAGCTGTTTGCCACTTAACTGCACATGTGATGCATGTTCTACATTTATTATGAGTTCATGGTTATTTTTCAAAGGGTTTTTCTTTCCCCCCCCAATGTCTCACTATAACCCCCCGCCCCGTAACTGTCATTCTACTCTCTATTTCTGTGAATTCGATTTCTGTTATTCTATGTATGAACCATGCCAGGCAGCATTTTTCTTTCTTTCTGCAATTGACTCATTTCACTTGACTGTCTTCTGAGTTCGCCCGTGCCGCTTCCAAGGGCATGACTACCTTTGATTGTGTGGCCAAGTAATGTTCAGTACACAAAACATGTCCCCTTTCTTCATTCATCTGTCAATTTGCACTTGGACTCATTTCCTATCTTGGCTGATGTGTATAGTGCTTCAGTGACCTCGGGAGTGCAGGTCTCTTTTGGAGATATGATTTCATTTTCTTTGGATTTAGCAAACCCTGAAATGGGGTTGCTAGATCATATGCTAGTGCCAGTTTTACTATTTTGAGGAACCTCTGTGCTGTCTTCCAGAATGGCTATTCTAACTTATATTCCCACTGCCGTGTACAAGGTTCCCATTTCTCCACCTCCTCATGACACTTGTCATCTTTTGTAGTCCTGTTAATAGTCACCCTAACCGGTGTGAGGCCGTATCCTACTATGGTTTTGACTTGCATTTCCCTGATGATATCTGGCACCTTCTCATATACCTACTTGCCACTTTTATGTCTTTTTTGGAGAAATGTGTATCATGTCTTTGCTCATTTAAAAAATCGGGTTATTCTCGTTTTTCCCCTATTAACTTGTGTGAGTTCCTAGGAACTGAGAGTAAGGAAACGAAGAGCCAGGCCCTTCAGTGGGGCGTTGCTTGTTCTCTGCTGCCTGAGGAAGGACACGAAGTCTTGCCTGGCTGGTTTAAAGGCGCAGCCAGGAGTAAAATCTGGTCTCCCTATTTCCCAGCCGCAGGCATGTTCTGCTTCTCTGCAATGCGGAGAAGCATCAGAAGTGACTGTTCATTCTCCGAGTTTCCGGAAACTACAGAAAATAAACTGTATTTAGTGAGGGCACTTGTTTATCGAGAAACCAGACTTAAGCTCATTAAAGTAAGTTTATGTTTCTAACCTATATCATTGCTTTATTTTCCAGGAAATCAAAACCATATGGTCCTCGCCTAATCAGCTAAATTGTGAAAGTCTTGGCAGGAACCTTGGAAATCTTTCTAGAACCTTGGAAAACTTCAAAAGCAGCTTGGAAAACGCCAGTGACCAGGACTGCACCTGCCAGCCCGGCCTGGACACCTTGCAGCGGCTCATGCAAACGTATGTTCCAATCCCTCTCTTGCCTCCGCCATATTTCATTTATAAAGAAGGTGAATTTCAGGCAATAGTCTGCACTGCATACTATTAATACCCATCTTTCTTTCCTTTTCTTTCCTTTTTCTAAACAAAATCAGAGTTTTCTATGACTAAATTATTAAGTAGTAAAATGAAAGAGCAGCCAGAGGCTATGGCTAACTTTATTGGTGATCAAGATAGGAGATCAAAATCTCATTATCTAAGGTTGGAATATAACATTCAATATTTGAACAGGCAAATATTTTTCTAATTATCTTCATATTTGATTAATTTTGCTTGCTCTGGAAGTTTCAAGCCCAGGAAGAGGGAGTCAGGGACTATGTATTCTGCAGACAACTTATTCATAAAAAGAGTTATGTTTATCTGACTCTTGCTATCATGATTTCTCATATGCCCCATGATCTAGTCTCTCTATTCTTTTCTCAGTAGTGAAAAGCCATTTATTATGCATCTTTATTCCCCTGCTCATCTTGCTTGGCAGCGACTCTGAGAGGAAGTACTGCATGTGGGTATTGATGGATATTCACATACAGATGGTGCCGGGAGACGTGTGTCTAATTGTTGGAGGAATTTTATGGAAATGTGATCCTGTTATCCAGCTCATCTCCTGGGAACTGAGGCAGTATTATTCACTCCAACCTTGTTCCTGATGTTTTATCTTGCCTAATTTAGCTTTAATTTTCTGCCATTTTAGGTTGGCCAAAAGCCTTGAAGAGACTTGGTCATCAGGGAACCCCATTATGACTTTTCTTAGTGATTTCACAGTATCTGAGGGTAAGTATTTACTTTGCTTGATTAAAAATTAAATTTAGTTTCTCATGCAAATATATTACTAAAATAAAACACAAAAACGAAAAACTGTGGTATACATGATAAATAATCACTTAGCATTTGGCTGGCCTGATATATTTGAGGCTGTTTTTTTTTGAGACAGAATCTCACTATGTCGCCCTCGGTAGAGCACTGTGGCATCACAGCTGACAGCAACCTCAAACTCCTGGGCTCAAGCGATTCTCTTGCTTCAGCCTCCTTATGTATTTGAGGTTTTAAAAGAACATCCTAAAATCCCAGGGTACCAAAATCAAGTAGGGAAGGAAGAGAAACATCTGTGGTCTGGATCTTGCTCCAGCTCTGCCTCCCTGGACAAGTCAGTGATGACTTGTCTATAATTTTTTGTCTCTTTGACTATTCAATCTATACAATTCATGCTGCTTCTTGTAGAGTCAACTCTGAAGATGCCTGGCTAATTTTTAAATGATACTCTTTTTGTTAAAAAAAAAAGTGAGATAAGTAAATACCCGTAGGGCAGTGAGCTTTCTATGGCACTTGGTCGCTGTTTTGTAAGAAAAATCTCTTCCTGAAATAAATCTTAAAATATCCAGATCTTGGAGAATAAACCAGTGAACAGAAAATACCACATCACCTGGGATTTTTGTGTATTTGTAGTGTATGTAATATCCCCATTACTCCTAGACGAGTAGGATTGGACTTTATTGTTGCCCATTATGAGCTGGATAGAGTGAAACAAAACACCAAGTTGTGTTTTCCCAGTCAGTAACAATCTCGACATTTATTATAAAGCTTCCTTCTTTTTGTTTATTTTTCAGATGTGAAAGTAAAAGATTTGATGAAAAACGTGACCAAGTTGACCGAAGAGCTTCGCTCTTCCATCCACATCTCAGATGAAACTATCCGTAGCATTTTAGAAGCGAATGTTTCCCACTCCAAGGTGTGGTGCTGCTTCTCCTGTGTCTGCTGCGCTCCTGGAAGGGGCCCTCTCCTTTCCCTCTGTTTCTCCCCTCCCACGGCTGGGGGAAGGGGTTGCTGGCGATGATATAACTGGAGGCAGAAAGGAAATGAGAGAATAAGCAAGGAACCAAAAGCTTCATTGTTTCATGCCAAAATATTGGGGCCTTAATTTCATAATATTATCTTTATTTGGGGTTATAAAGGATAAAATTAGTGATGATATTTATTTCAGTGAATTCCAACCCTGATGCACAAAACCCAAGGGGTTTCTTCTTGGTTCAGTAGGTATCACAAAATTCTCAAAAATATCTAAAAAGAAAACCACTTAAAACTATCTGAGAAGTCAGTGATGAAGTCCTGTGAGTGAGGAGCAGCTGTGCAGTCTGACGGGATGCTGCCGCAGGGGCTGGTGGCGAGAGTAAGTGAGGAGTGACCGTCTGCGTCCCCGCCGAGGGCCCGAGGAGGCAAAACTAGTAAAGAGCCATTGCAACAAATCAAGGGCTGAGTAAGACGCAGGGGTGGCATCAGGGCGTGGTTCACCCATGAAGAGGGGAACAGGGAAATTTCACATTGGCCACACAGATGTCGCCTCCATCCTCGGCAGGAGTGCTGCTCTTTCAGCACCTCCTGTTGGGGTTTTACCTTTCTGTATGGAGAACCTTCCAGAAGTAACAACCAGGCAGCAGTCTCACAAGTAAACATTTCGGTCGTCAGTTAGCTGGGTCCAAGCACACATTTAATTTCTTGTCACTTCTGGTTAATTGGGGCTAATTGCAAGCCTGACAGGTAGACTAATTAAGAATTAATTTAAATTAAGAAATAAATAAATTAAAAGTGATACACTCCAAATCAAATTACAGTATCATCCAGTTACTTATCATAAGATTCATGGTGTTTAATACTATGTAAATTGAATTTGACATCTTTTCTTGAAGATAGATACCATGAATTTTACGGCCACTGAAGGGGGGTGGGGGGGGAGGTGTGAAATTCCTTCCACTCATCTCTGTTGCTGCCTTGTACAGAAATGGTGAATAGCTGTGGTTTCAAATCCTCAGTTGTAGAAAATTGTAATGGGGGAAATTAAACACCGACTGAATTAATTTGAGCAGCTACCTAGGAGTACATCAAGAGAAGGGTCAGGTTAGCGAAAGTGTAGGGTTCCTTTCAAATTCAAAGCCTTAGGTTACTTTCTGGGCTCAGCTGTTTTTCTTGGCCGTTGCCTGATTGAGCGAGCAGCCACCGGGTGTCACTGCCGGTCTATCACTCGGGGCTGGGAGGCGGCCCATGGTACAAGGTGTATTGCTGCATAGCTGGTTTTGCAGTGCTCTTTTTGTACTTTTGTGTATATTTTCCTGCTTCTTTGTCAATGTAAATCATTACCGTGCATAAACAGCTGGACAGTTAGGTAACTGGGATGTGTATTTAAAAAGTTGCATTCTTACTATTCAGATAAATAATGAAGTTATTTGCTTTGATAGTTGAATATATCCATGGGCCTACATGCATCTATGGGTTCTAGGGAAGGAATTCATGCCAGGTTAGGAGGTGACACTTTGGACACCGGTTTTTTCTAGATTGGTGGGTTGACAGCAGTACCGTATTATTTGTAGTATCTCTTCCCTGTCTTTTTCTAGATTGGCGGGTTGACAGCAGTACCGTATTGTTTGTAGTATCTCTTCCTTCTTTTTCTAGATTGGC